CTTTATTGTAATTACAATTAAGTTCAAAACTATTATAATTACTGTAATTAAGTTCCAATACTTTATGGAACTACCACAGGGACCTGATCGGACATATATTTTTCAAGTTCCAATAATTAGATCATGTCTAGTTGACCCTATATCACCCAATCTAATTACTAGTCTTTGTTTTTTCCACTAAAGGTAAAAGACTGAACCTTTGGAATATATAAGATCACAGAAACCAATAAATCTGTAATATTTTCCTCTGATTGGCTATATATGTATTTTATCCCCGTTCGAGATCGATAATTAGGTACGAGTATAAATGAACATTTTGTCCCTCTAATTATTTTCACTAACTTAAATTTCATTTTTTTCAACGGTTTTGAGAACAAATCATAGATGTTGAAGTTTAGCTGTCGCTAAACACTGAACTCAGATTTTAACTGTTCAACAGAAAATACTTAAGTAGTCACTCTACCCATTTTCCACGGTGATGGTTCCCGACACGAATTCACGTTCTCTACTCCGCTCATTCTTAAGTTCCGAACTCATCGAGATATTTGACCAACTAAATTGATCTCACCCATTGATGAATTAGAGAACAATTAAAATAGCGAAAAGATATACATAGTCCGCATAATACGGTCAAAAGATTCAAATGAAATACATGGCAGTCAAGTGGAATTTAATTCTCTGCACGGTCATGTTATAAAATTAAATTCGACACATGGTCCGTTCAATACACTCCAAGTGTACTAATGTCACCTTTAACTATTTCTGTGATAAGGACAAATCATAAACCTGAATAGTAAATTGGTCAACAATACAACCTTCCAATATAAGGTGTCAATTCTTATACATTGGTTGTGAACAAATTATTTATGATCAAAATATAAGTTGTATCTCAGTGTACTTCTCAACTCAAGTACCCAACTCATATTATCACAAGTGATTACAGGTACTTTAATTTCGCATGCTCAATAATAAATATGTGCAATAAATAAAGTAAACATAATTTTATTCAATAGAAAAATTATTATTGTTATTTTTACATCAACAAAACTATACTATATGGGCACACAACCTAACAAATCTCCCACTTGCCCTAAAGTATATGTGTCATGTCCTGTAACGCATGCATTGCACGTGTCCATTAAAAACCTTAACCGATAGACTCTTTATAAATGGATCCGCGAGGTTATCCCCAATCGCAATTTTACTGATAATCACATCTCATCTATTAACTATCTCTCTCAAGAGATGATATTTCCGTTCAATATGTTTACCCTTTGATGACTCCTTGGTTTTTTAGCATTTGCCACTGTCCCACTGTTATCACAGTACAGTGTCAGGGGCTGTGCAAATGCAGGCACCACCTCGATATCCGTTAAGAATTTTTTGAGCCACACCGCTTTCTTAGCGGCTTCACAAGCTGCCACATACTCAGTCGCCATGGTGGAATCATCAATACATGATTGTTTGATACTTCTCCAAATAATGGCCCCGCCACAAGTGTAAACAGTGATCCTGGTGTAAACAGCCCTTTCGAAAGCTTTTTTTTTTTTTGACATATTTGATAGAAGACAAGTCAGCAGTACCTCATTCATTCCTATAGTTTATCCCATGTCTGGAAATGACAACAAAGGAAGAAAAAAGAGGATAGGCAGAAAGAGGCAAAGCGGCTCTCGTTCAATTAGCCTATAACCATGGATCCCTCAAAATCAAAATAAAGAAGGGCGGGCGGGGCTTGCACAAGAGCCTCCCCCCTCTTCTCGATCACGATAGATGGGAAGGAGCCCTATCAAGTAAAGGCCATAACTAGCGAAAGGAAGAGGAGGAACGCCAGTCTTTATCGAGAAGTCCCTGCCCATATTATCAACAATGGGAGTGTTGCAAAAAGAAGAGATCAACTTGACTAAGTCATTGTTCACAATAAAGCGTTTGCGAGAGTCCTTATCAGCCTGGAAGTCTGAATCTGTGTAACCCACTGGAAAAAAATCTATGATGAGTAAACTAGCATGTAATTTCTTGTCTTTCGAAGGTACTTCAGGATATGCTTTACAGCCACCCAGTGTTTCGGTCCAGGGTTAGATTGATATCGATTCACCATACCAACAGCATAACAAATGTTAGGTCCAGTACACAGCATAACATACATGAGACTACCAACTGCCGATACATAAGGTATCCTACTCATGCGTTCTACCTCTTCAAGAATCTTAGAGGACTGATCGTTAGAGAGCTGGATTCCATGTCTGAAAGGTAAATTACCTTTCTTGGAATCTTCCATGACAAATCTGACAAGTATTTTATCAATGTATGAAGCTTGGGATAGAGCTATCTGCTTGTTCTTTCGATCTCTTAAGATCTGAATGCCTAGAACATAGCTAGCTTCTCCTAAGTCTTTCATATGAAACTGTTGGGCCAACCATGCTTTCGTAGATGATAATGCTCCAACATCATTTCCAATTAGTAGAATATCATCCACATAAAACACGAGGAAAATTACTACTCTTTCCTGTATCTTCTTATAGACACGGGGTTCATCAAAGTTCTAATCAAAACCATATGTCTTAATCACTTCGTTGAATATCTTGTTCCAAGATCTTGATGCTTGCTTCAACCCATAAATGGACCGAGGAAGCTTGCAGACTTTGTCTTCATGACCAGGTTCTATGAATCCGTTTGGTTGTACCATATAGATACATTCATCAAGATGGCCATTCAAAAAGGCTGCTTGACATCCATTTGCCACACCTCATAATCAAAATGAGCTGCAATGGATAAAAGAATCCGGGTGACTTAAGCATAGCCACAGGTGAAAAGGTCTCCTTGTAATCGATGCCTTCTTGTTGCGTGAAACCCTTAGCTACTAGCCTTGCTTTGAAAGTTTCCACTTTCCCGTATGCTCCTCTCTTTCTCTTATAGACCCACTTGCACCCGATGGGTTTTATCCCTTCTAGTGCATCTACAAGTTCCCAGGCCTAATTGGAATGCATAGATCCCATTTCAGCATTCATAGCTTGTTGCCATAAATCTACATCTACATCATTCATGGCCTCTTTATATAAAGTCGGGTCGTCAACTTGTGTTGTGGAGATCGCCTGATTGGACTCTTCCACTAACAAGTACCTAGAAGGTGGTCTAATAACCCTTTTGCTTTGTCTAAGGGGCGGTGGATCCTGAACTGTGGCATCGCTTGGAATTGTAACGTTTGTATCAATGTTGGGATCACCATTAAGTGGTTCCATTACCTCCTCAATACCTTCAACGTTTAATTGATCTATGGGATTGGATGACTATCTCTCCCTCACAAAACACATTGTTTAAGTATATCTAATACCAAGGGTTATCTGTTATGAGATTGTGTTTCAGGAATTAATGTGATGGAATTGCTCCCACTCATTTCTTCCAACACAACCTTGCTTTTGGACTGACATTCATTAATATACTTATCATCTAGGAAAGTGGCATTTGTGCTAACAAAGACTTTCCTATCTATAGGACTATAAAAATAATATCCCTGGTACCTTTAGGGTATCCTATAAACAGGCATATTTCTGATCTAGACTCCAACTTCTCTACCTTCCCTTTAGCACATGAGCCGGACATTCCCAAATTCAAATATGACGTAAGCTAGGCTTCCACACATTCTATAATTCCAGGGGAGTCTTCGAAATCGACTTAGAAGGAACTGAGTTAAGAACATATGATGCTGTTTCCAGTGCATATCCCTAAAATGAGGTAGGTAGAGTTACGAAACTAATCATTGACCTAACCATGTCTAACAATGTTATGTTTCTCCTTTCTGAAACGACATTCTATTGGGGTGTACCCGGCACACTCAGTTGAGAAACAATACCATTTTCTGTCAAGTAGTCCCTGAATTCTCCTGAGAAATATTCCCCTTCTCGATCTGATCGAATTGTCTTAATACTCTTACCCAAATGTTTCTCGACCTAAGCTCAATACTCTTTGAATTTTTCAAAAGCATCTGACTTTCGAGTCATTAGGTAGATGTATCTGAATCTAGAGTAATCATCGGTAAAAGTAATAAAATACTCATAACCCCCTCTCGCAGGTGTATTCATGGGTCCACATACATCAGAATGAACTAGTTCCAATACTTCTTTGGCTCTCTGTCCTTTTGCTAGAAAGGATCTCTTGGTCATTTTACCCTCCAAACAAGAATCACGAACTGGCAATGGTTCGACCTTAAGTGTCTTAAGTGGACCGTCTCTAGCCAATCTTTGTATCCTGTTAAGATTAATATGTCCAAGCCTAAGATGCCATAAATAAGTATCACTAGTATGGTTAGACATTCGTTCATAGTTTGCAGAAGTAACATTTATTTCATTTGTGACACAATTTAAAATATAAAGAACATTCACCAAATATCCAGCACAAATAGGAGCTTTATTCTTTATAATATAAAGCGCATCATGCGCAGAGTTTACAGAATAACATTGTCCTATTAAACAAGAAACAGAAATCAAATTTCGCTTCATCTGTGGGACATAATAACAGTCTTTAAGAGTTAAACGCCTACCACTATCGAAATAAAAGCAAACTACTCCTACTGCTCTTGCTGAAACTATAGCTCCTATGCCGATAGTAATTTTAAACTGGCCCTCACTGAGTCTTCTACTTTCCTAAAGCACCTGCATGACATGCATATATAATTAGTGGCTCTAGAGTCTATAACCCAGGAATTTGTAGAATCAACCATCAAACATGACTCAGCAATAAAAAACTCACCAACACCCAACTTTTTAGCTAGTGCATCAGGGCAATCTTTCTTCCAGTGCCTTTTGCGACCACAGTGGAAACACATGCCATTTGGCGTTCCATCTGATTTGGGCTTTTTGTTGCTTCCTGACTTCTTGTTAGATCTCTTCCTCTTCTTTCTAATTCCACCTTTTGGCTTAGAGCCAAAGGAGCTAGCAATTGTCGTATGAGCATGACCACCCTTACCCTTGAGACTACTTTCCACATTTTGCAACTCATTCATCAACTCAGTTAATGGCATATTTATCTTGTGCAAGTGATAGTCTAAACTGTGAAAACATATCAAATGAAGAATTCAATAGCATATCAACTTGAGTTTCCTGTTCAATAGTTGCACCCAAATTCTCCGCCACATTGAAGTCTGCAATCATAGTCAACATATGATCCTTCACAGGCATTCCGGGTTTCATGCGGATGTTCTGCAAGGTAAGAATGGCCTCAAAGCGAGCTCTCCTACTTTGATGTCCAAACATGTCCTTCAGGCTTTCTAGTATGTCATAAGAGGTCTCCTGACTTTCAGCTTTTGCTGTAACACATTTGACATGGATGCCAAAATATAACAGCGAGTCATCTTGTCAGCAGCGATCCACTTGTCATACGCAACCCCCTCTTGGACTTGCCTGTAGTCTCAGTAGGTTTCTCGAGACATTCTTCTTCGAGCACAAAATTGAGTTTTTCGACAATAAGCACAAACATCAAATTACGTTTCTAATCCACATAATTATCCTCGACAAGTTGATTTTGTTTTAGAATAACGGAAAAAGCGCTGAGAGACATTTTGCTGAAAAATAACAATTTATTGCATATTAAAATTGAGCAGCGAATGACAATTTAACATATCACGCATGAATGCATATGTAGATCCATCTAACTACAATAATGCAACAATGACTTGATCCGTGTGATCCAACATGCCTCTCTATAGGAAAGGTCAATGTGTCCATTAATCAATCTGAGACCCTCCCACTCAAACAAAATATATTTGACAACATATGTCTATATTAAGTCTAGCATTGTTTTATTTGGTCACCAAAATAATAAACGAGAGCCTCTATAGGAGGTTCGTAGATAATTTCGATTTGAGTGTACAACCTTTGTCTCAATCTCTAAACACTTGAAAATAATTTCGCCATCTATAGGATGATCACAAATTATATTATATTTAGACAATTTTATCATAAAGAAATCTAATCAAACAACTTGAACCACTTGGCCCTCCTATAGGGAGTCCGTTACATTACCGGCACGAGGCAAACACGTTACTCTGCTTATGGATTGACCAAAGGAGACCGTTGGTTTTTATTTAAATAAACACCCTCTCCCATTCAATATTTTAAAATAATGGATTTTAATTGAAACAATTACCAACTTTTCATATTAATTAAATTAATATACAATTTAATAATAACGATTTTTCTATTCAGAATAATTTAATTTAAATTAAATTAATCGAAGAAAGGTCTGTGTTAAATGATATGTATCCTATTTATAGTATCACGAGCGATGTCATAAATAGATATATATGTCATGATATTTAGAATGACAATATTTTAAAAATTTAAAGCATTCATAGAGCGATAAAAATAACAATTATTTGTGACCAAAAAACGACTCAAGAAATAAGTTAAAAACTAATTGGACTCAAGCCCAATATTTAATCAAAATCTTCAGTACAAAATCTTCAGGATCCAATCGAAGTAATCCAATAACAACTGAATTCTATCTACACGAAAAAGAATTTCGAAACTCAATCGAGTTGTGAAATACGCATGTATTTCTACACTTCTGCCTCAATTTAAAACTGTGGATTGTGCCTGACAAAAAAATTTATTTACTTTGTTGTAATGATAGGCATTATCACATTTCCATGATCAATTAACAATACAATTATATTTGGCTATTTAGAAAATCCATATCAACAGTGGCCCAAGTTCCCATAACATTTAAATGACTGCCACTTCTGCCATCCATAATACATTACATAATATTCTAAACTATTTGGAAACTGCCAATGGATGGGTACATGCGTAATTCATGTTACTGTGAGTGTTTCCCATTTTTTTTCGATCCTTGGCCGCATTTGTCGATGTTCATCTGGTCCATCAGAGTTCCTTCTTCAAGTCTTCTATCATCAATCAATTTATAATATCCAAAAATTACAAGAATCCCAATGTCTCGTAAGCTCACAATTTTTGAATCTAATTGAACAAAAATTTAATTCAAGATGATGGAGTCGTAATCCACCTATCTTGTTACAGACTCGAAATAACGAATTACAATTAAAGACTGGCCACAAATAATTGGTTCACAATTTAAATTAATCCAATCATTCAATCAACATATATCAAATTATTCCTAGACATCGCTCGACTAGAATATGCAATTAAGATTCAGAAATAACAAGAACGTGAACGATCTAGATTGCTCTAATACCAGTTGTTGGAATGCTGAAGCGAAATTAATCAGAAATTAAAATTTTCTTTAATTCAATAAGCAAGATCGTCTAGATGTTCACGTGTATATTATAACAAAATTAAATGATTCAAATATTTTACCTAAGTTTAAAGATCAACCTTAAATAACTATGATCCACGAACTTTCGTCTCCTTTAATTGCAAGAATCTTAGTGTTTCAAACATTCAAATCTTCTATGGTATTCTCCAACGCAAAGATTACAGCGGCGTGTGGGCACCTTCTTTCAATTAATCTAGAAACTAATTCTTAAATTTTGGACAAGAAGAAAATAATATATTTTCTCTCTACAAATTTGAATCTTATGGAATTATGAACGTTGTAATATTTTTCTATCCATCTAGCCTCTATTTATATAGAAAAAGATGATACAATTCTAGTACAATTATAATTCCACATTCAAATAAGAGTTCTAATTAAAACTCAAATAAAAGTTCTAATTTAAGTCCACTTCTAACTAGCTTACGTTTAATTGCACGTGTAGTCTTAGAACTTCAATTACAATTACAATTAAGTTTATAACTTTCATAGTAATTACAACCAAGTAAAAAATGTTATTATAATTACAATTAAGTCCAAAACTATTATAATTACTTTAATTAAGTTCTAATACTTTATGAAGCTACCACGAGACCTGATCGGACCTATATTTTCCAAGCTCCAATAATTAGATCCTATCTAATCGACCATAGACCACCCAATCTAATTATTAGTCTTTGTTTTTTCCACTAAAAACAAAAGACTGAACCCTTGAAATATATAAGATCATAGAAGCCAATAAATTTGTAATACTTTTTTCTAACCTGCCGTATATGTATTTTATCCCCATCCGAGATTCGATAATTAAGTACGAGTATAAATGACCATTTTGCCCCTCTAATTATTCTCACTAACTTAAGTTTCATTTTCTTCAACGGTCTTGTGAACAAATCACAGATGTCGGAGTTTAGCCGTCGCTAAACATTGAGTTCAGATTTTAACCGTTCAACTAAAAATACTTAAGTAGTCACTCTACCCGTTTTCTACAATGACGGTTCCCGACACGAATTCATGTTCTCTATTCCGCTCATTCCCAAATTCCCAACTTATCGAGATATTTGACCAATTAAATTAATCTCACCTATTGATGAATTAAAGAATAATTAAAATCGCGAAGTGATATACATAATCCTATCAAAGGATTAAGATGAGATATACAGCGATCAAGTGAAATTTAATTTTTCGTACGGTCATACTAAAGAATTAAATTCGACAGATTGTCTGTTCAATACACTCCAAGTGTACTAGTGATCTAGAATGTTTTACTTGTGATTTTGTTATTCTTTAAGAGTTTAAGAATGTTTTCATGTTGTGTTATAGAATAGGTAAATTGGTGAAAAGGAGTTTGAAGTAATCAAAGAGAGACGACAATGTGAATCAAGGATAACAGGACATGGAGTCGTAAATGAGGCGAAAAATAGGCTAAATTGCCTGAAAACAAAGTGGATTAAAATCAAAGCTAGAGCCTAGGCGTTACATTATTTGTCTAGGCACCTCCAAAGGATAATATTAATAAAGATGTGGTACCCAAGTGCCACTTAAAAGTGGAAAACGAAGCAGAGTTCTAGTGCCTAGGGACCACCTAGTCAAACATCATGGTTCCCAGGTGCCATACACGCAATGCCTTTTCAACTAGGATTTGTTTTCGTGGTGCGTTAAAAACCCATGACAATTCCAATCCGAAGGAGACTTTAGAGAAGTCGTAAATAAATTTTGACGTTTCAACTACACTTCGACAAGATAAAATCAAGATATCACACAATTGAGCGATAGGAACCATCAGAAGAAGATTGATCCAAACTCCAAAGATAGTTTTTTTTTTTCTTGTGTTTATGATTATGAATTCTAAATTTTCTTATTCTTCAATCATGATCTAAATCTTTTATCCTTGATTTGCTGTAATCTAAACTTGAGATTATGTTTCGAGTTTCAATAATTATTTCATTGAGGTTTTCTTTTAAGTTTATTTATGCTATTTATACTTAATGTTTTCAATTAACTGGCTATTTGATTGATTGATTTGATGTTTAAGATCCAGCACCCGAAAGAGGAAATTTTGAATTGGTCATGGAATACACAACTTAGGTTTTATCGGTTTCGAGAGAAAGTGTAAATCTTTTAAAGCGTTTTCACAAAGAACCATAGAACTTAGGAATTCTTAGATTTTTTGTTCGAAATAGAGTTATTGGAATTAAAATTTAGGAATGATTTTCACTCGGCACTTGAAACGGGAAGTTGAAATACATTAGGGTTCTTGCTTATAAACTTAAAAAAACAAAGTGAGATAATTAAAGAATTTAAGAAACATAGTTGATAGTTAGAAGAAATCAAAACCCTAGGCTTGACTCAAATTGCTTTAGTCCCTACAAACTTGCTTTCAATAATTGATTTAATCGAATTTTCACCTTTGATTTAGTTAAAGACATTGACACTATTAATTCGATCGTTTAGAAAAAGTAAGGGCTATGTTAATTATAGTATTTAGTAGGAATTTAATTATCAATCCATTTGACATCCTATTTCATCGTTATATTATAAAAATTGACATGGTGAACTTAAGGTATAATTTGTCAATAGCACTTATCATCTATGTTCATTACCCAATCAGCGTCTGTATATCCTGCAAAATGAGAGTTTGAATCTTTAGTGTACTGCAAACCAAAATTGGATGTGCTTATCTAATGACTTGTTTAACAGCTACCAAGTGGGACTCTTTTTGGTTTGGCTTGATATCTTGCACAGACTCCAATGCTGAAGGCTATGTCAGGACAACTTACAGTCAAGTATAACAATCTGCCAATCATGCCCCTATATAGGCTGGTGTCAATGTTCTTTCTTTGGTCAACTCGACAGATCTTTAAACACATAGTAATATGAGGTAGTTAGTATTTTCTGAACCAAATTTCTTCACCAGATTCTTCGCATACTTAGACTATGAGATGAAGATCCCTGCATCAACCTGCTTAACCTACTAACCCAAGAAATAGTTTAGTTCACCAACTATACTCATTTCAAACTCGTTTTGCATAAGATTAATAAGCACCCTAGATTTTGTTTTAGATGTAGATCTAAATACTATTTCATCGACATATATTTGAGCCACAATTAATCCGGACTTAAGATGTCTAATGAACACTGTTTTATCAACTTCCTCTCTCTTGTATCTCTTCTTAGGTAGAAACATA